TTCCTTGCCTTTGACTCACCTGCGCAGCGATTGTGGGTCAGCGCCCTGGACCACCTGAGATCAGCAAGTGCACGATGATGCCCAGCATGTCCTGCGCATGCTCCACCATGGCCTGGAAGCTGCGCGCTTGAGTTGAAACAAAAACCACGCAACCAGCGCAGTAGTTGGGAGAGAATAAAGATAAAGAAAGCACGGCCATCATGAGAGTTCAAAGGAACAATGATTGACTATGATGTACGGTCACAACACATATCATTCTTTCTTTCGGAGGGTATCGAACGCTGATCTGACCTCCGCGGCGACTTCTAGGCGTCTGAAAGGAGTACATCTTGCCAACAAAATACAGCAGTACTTCTTGCCAACAAACAAACGGTTACAGTGATCAACCTGCAAGCGGTGCATGTCGTGAATTGGAAGTGGTCGAAACTTCGCAACTCACAGAGGTGAAACTTCTGTTCTCAAGCTCACGCGCAATCAATACACTCAATACAGTAATTAGGTGCCCAAGCAAAACACCGACCTCATCGCATGTCATATCATTTTTGCATTTCAAAATACCTCCAAACATCTCCAAACGCATTTTAGTTGATTGGTGACGATCCGAGCACAATAGAACCAAAAACAACGGTACAGGGACAAGTTGGCACAAGTGTTAATGAAGCATTATATAGTTAGTTGCACTTCCTTTTTGCGCTTAAATCATAGGGTAATGAGTGAAAAAGAAGAATCCGGATACTACAACCAACCATGGTAAATGTCCGAATGGGCGGATGAACAGTTCGACCAAACAGAATCGCTTGGATTGGGAACTTCGGCCAATTGCGCCAGTGAACAGCAGTGAACGGCCATGGGCCATGTCCGTTCTCTGGCTAAGCTACATTGTTGGTCACCAAAAGTTTTGTTGCTGGATGAAAGGGGCTTTGAACATGGCAGTGTCGTGACATTCACCAAAAACCAATGCCCCCTGCCTTCAAGGCTCCCGCACGCGACATGAGTAGCACCTCCCGCGTCGGTGGCAATGGGTATAGACGGTATAGAGGACTCCCCTGCATTTCAATCCCTCTCAGCAATGACTTTCCAAATCCACGTGGATACCGATGGGTCCGTGTCGGACGAATTGGATGCTTTTCTGGTGTAAACTCCCCACACCTTGAGATATTCCTTGTGTGATCCCCAAACAATCCAAGGAGGTTCGAGCTGTAGTGAGCTAGCGAGCTAGTCAAGGCCCAAATAGATTCCAAGATCTAAAGAACTTGTTTGTTTCACAGGGAACTCGCCCATTGAAACTTAAACATGGAAGTGGTAACATTAAGTTGTAGAGGACAAAATGGGGAAGATACTCTTCCAGCTGACAATGTTTCACTTTCGTGTCTTGTCTTTTTTGTGAACTGTTCCCTTCTTTCAAGCCGCCGAATCGTGCCAATCATTGGGCCTCTTGTGGCTCTTGGCATTGGCTGTCCATCAATGACTTCCTGGCAACCGACCGATTCATCACGTGATCGGTTGAAGGCTGCGAACCCACCCGTCGCGACCAGGTGAGTCATTGTCCCTATTCAAGGTGAGTGCATTCTAGTCCCCAAATATAGATACAGGAACGGTTTCCAATACATGTTCAAAGGATTCTACTTGTCAATTTCTGCAGGCCTCATACAAACAGGCTCACCTCAAAAAAGGACACTTCTAGCCTGTTCCTCTGCACGCCCTGCAAACAGGTCGGGCTTAACATCTCCATCGCGTTGCTCACCGCAACTTCCAGTGAAGCCAGTTGCTGCTTATTGTGGTCTGCCAGACAGCGAGATTCGCACTGTGTGCCCACTGTGTGCACTACTCCATAGAGTCAAGATGCGAAGAGAAAGCGGACTTGAACATAAGACAAATGCCTCCCGTACACAGTACCTGAGGTCTACTAGGCCACTTCTGTATCAACGGTGTCACTGATAGTTTGATGATGTTTGATTGGATTGGTGTATTGGTGTGCAGCAAATCATTCCACGATGGGGCTCCGAAAACTGTTCGCCAATGTTCGCCATGAGAATCACCTTTTTTAGGTGTTCAACTCAATTTCCAGCAACATCACCTGCAGCACTGGCTACTCTTTAGGGCCTTTGAAGTCACACGCAGTCGTTGGCAGATCTTTCACCTTCCAACCCCCAAGTAACTCAGCCACCCTCCACCCGGCCAGACGCCAACTGCATCCAGGCGAGCACTTGCTGCGCAGGTGCTTCCGGACAACACCTCTCGCGGAGAAGTGGAGCCGGACTACCTCTGGGCATCGCTACAACCGGAGCAAGAAGCTACGAACGTAGCTCCTGGCCTTACTACTATAGTAGCAAGGACGCTACTAGGAGCAAAGGGCATCGCTACTAGGAGCAAGGACGCTACTAGGGGCTCCTGGCCGTACTACTAGGAACAAGAAGCTACAAACGGAACAACGGGCATCGCTACCAGGAGCAAGAACAACTCATAGATGCGTCGGGGATCGTCCTAATCGATTCTCATGCACTCAGTATGTGATATGTGGTCTAGACGTTAAGAGACCATCAAGTTGCCGATCAAAAACCCTCCACAAGGCGACGATCCAAGTCGTGCGCTGGCAGGTCTTCAACTCGCTCTCACACTCTCTCACACTCCTCCAACCCATTTGGAAAGCGTTTGTACCCAACACCACCACTTCACGAAACTCGTAAGAAGCTTACATACGGTGTCTTCTTCCTCCCCTATGGACTACCACGGCACAAAAAACCTTCGCACCTTTCTCCAAAGGTCGCATGGCAGTCGAGGCCGTCCACGGAGCCATTCCAAACCTCGCCGGTGGCCGTGCGGTCGACCGTGAAATTCGCTCGCAGGTCCGCTCTTGGTCGGTGGAATTGTTCCTAGTAGCAAGAATGCTACTAGTAGTAAGGCCAGGAGGTCGTAGTAGCTTATTAGTAGTAAGGCCAGGAGCCCCGTTCGTAGCGTCCTTGCTACCATCACATGACTTCTACATTTCTTCACTTGGTGTCAAATCTACATTGAATCTTGGTGAAATAGGGTTCAGTACACTCAGTCTCACTCAGTACACGCATTCACCTGCAGCTAAATCATGATAAGTCCGAAGTCCAAATGAACTCCTGTTGGCCAAAGAGCTCCGACAATCACAGCTCCTACCTTGGGGTCCTCCAACAGCTGCCCAGCGCGACAGGAGCCGGAGAGCTCCTGGCGCTACATCTCAGCCCTCGCGCTTCACGAGGTGAACACAAAGACAGTAACAATGCTTAGATATCTATCTGGGCTTGTCAATCATGTTGACATGACTAGTATATGTCTCAGTTGAGTTGTAGTATATATAGTCCACCAATCTGTACATTCAATCGAACTACAAGTGTCTATTCGTGAAGTCCTTAGCTATATTATGCAACAATATGCAGAATATAGTATATTCAAAGGATTCAAAGGGTACCAGGTACCGTGTGGTCCATCAAAATAGCTACTTATTTATTTATATACTTAAACATTTACCCACCTAGACCTAGCTTTCTACACACCGTCCTCTGTCCATGCCGATGCCGCCCACAGGACGCTCCAGCGGAGCATGGCGCTCGCCCATGGCCCGGGTCGCGGGTCGTCGCGGGCGCGGTGAACACGTGGAGGTGAAAGCTGTGGGGGGGGGAGCTCGGGAGCTTAAGCAAGCTTTCACGGTTCGGAAGATGGAGAGTGTTTTTTCCGGCAAAATTATACAGTATCGGAAGCGGAGGATCTGGCCTGGGCTAAGGTGTGGGAACCATGTTCAGGGTATTTTTGGAAATAGCATGAAAGAGCCATGGTCATAGAAATGAATCTGATGTTCATACGCTTTGAGTGCAAAAAACATCTATATAAAGGGTGGGTAGAGGGCGAAACCGCCCGGGCGTTGTCGGCAGGCTGCTTGATTGAGGGCAAACAAACAGTCACAAGCAAAGCCCAAGGTACATCGTCTCGGGTCATTGGTTGCAGCTTTCAAGAGTCGCTGGGAGAGGAATCAACATGTCAAGTATGACCAATCAACATGTTTGGTAGTTGATGGATGTTGATAGGTGGTAAAGCTTTGAAAGTGGTATACAGACCCGAGACTGGGTCGCTGGTTGGGCAATGTTTGAGCTCCTTGGCACCGTTTAACTACCGGAGCTGCAACCAAAAGCATAGCTTTCTCGATCAGCTGAGCAAATGGATGCGGTGTTTCGGTCGGAGTGCGTCGATCGATCGACCCCGCTTGGAGGATTCTTTGTGCTGAATCGATCGAAAGCTCTTTAGGGCAGAATGGATGAGTAATGATGAGTGGATAGATTGATAGATTTGTGTTTTCAAGAATGGTGTTTGGAATCTCACAGAAAGGCAGGCATTCAGCATTCGTGGCAGTAGCAAGAAGTAACTCGGGTCAAAGCTGATTCCAATAAAATCATTCCAAAGGCAGCATCAAAGATGCAAAGGTTGATGGTTGCGTTGGTCAAAAGATCATCACAATTCCACAAGAATCCCTGCAGCATTTGAGAAAAACAGTTACATTGACAAAAACGCTCTACACGGTGAGGATGCCTTCACCTGAGCTGCCTTAGCTGGTCTGGGATTGAACTGGTCTGGGAAAAGACCAGCACTGACAGTACTGGGTGGTACTGACCAGTTGCACAACCGTCAGCATGTGATGCAACCGGCGGACTGGTGATGAAATTGGATCAAAAGGACTATGGCACACATGGAACCTGGTTGCTACGCTGCTACAAGAGACACCCCAAGCAGCACTTGCTCCTGAGAATGAATGGAGGGGATGTCCATCTACTAAACTATGACCTATCTAGAACAGGCCACGCATGCACACATGATCACACATGCACACGGAAAAAAGAAGCAGCTTTGTTTTGAAGAAGCACCTTCATGATACCTTGCAAGTAAGATCAGTTTACACATGTTACATCATGTTACACACATGTTGATGTGAAAATTCCATGTAAAACCATCTTGTAAACAGTAAATATACACTCTTACGCCTCTGGGGTTCGCCGCAACTCGAAACGCTTCTTGAGGTCCTCCGACCGCTGTGGGCGGTCCGAGACTCAAGACACATCGGTGGTTGGCGGCCGCTGACTTCTCCAAGGAAAAAACACGAGGAAGACATGTCTCTCCTCTCTCTGTTTCAGATCTGAAAGGGTCCGGGCAAAAGCATGGGACACACAGACCGTCATGTGCCACACACAACCGATGGGCAGTCCAAATCCAGCACGGTCTGCTCAACATCTCTAGCCTCGGTCCACCGAACGAGTCGTTAAAATACTGCTGCTTTGCATTTCTAAGACGGTGAACAGCAACCAAAACAACATAGCCATGTTGTGTAATCAATTGGATTCCACGTTGCCAGTTGTTGAATCTTCTTCTGTTTTCCATGTTCACCCAGTTTCTCTCTTGCAGTACATGCACTAAATCCAACTATTCAGCCCAACAATCTTCATGCGTTGACATAAGGTACAGTAAGCGTTGTGTGAGCTTACATATCTCTCTAGCAGCACTGAATATTTCATCTCCTCCGAGTGAGGGTGATTTGTGCGGGATCTCCCTGTGAGCCAACTGGATGTTCAACTGGTGCAAAACACAAATACATCGCAATACTTGGGGCAAGGTGAAGAGAAAGTAACACACGAGAGCTTGGTGTATCTTTGTTTCTTTTTTTGTTAGTTACGTGTTTCCTCAATGTGTATATATATTGGGATGGTACTCATTCCAACATTCCATCCAACATCCAAAAACACCTGCTCGTTCCTGTCTCCACACATGTCCTGCTCGTTCCTGTGCCTTGCGCACAAACCACCACACCGGTCGGCACTCTCGCGCGCCTGTTGCGTGAGACCAGGCATCTTCGCCAAGATCTGAGGCACTCGTCGGTTTGTGGGTGCAGTTTTGGTCAAAACGAAAAAAAACAAAACACAAAAATGACCCACTGCGACCCCCAGACAGGCCCAGCTGCGGTTGAACTACCTCCTTTCAGAAGGTCTGACTCATTATAATCATTATATATATAGGTATCTTACGTATTTGGGGGGTCAAATGACCCTAAACTACGTGGTACTGAGCGGCACCGCAGCCAACGCATTCGATTGAAAAACAAGAGAAGCGAAGTTTGCTGCAGTCGCCCCCAAGCTGAAGGCAGGTGATGTGTGGATTCACTTGCATTCGCGGATATATCCATGATTATATAAACCTACGATTCACTCATAAAGTAATGATGTGGATCAAACATGATGAAACTGTTTCACCCCGTGTGAATGTCCACTTAACGCAGTCACCATTGAAGAACAACCTTTAAAAGAGGTCCGAGCTGATTCCGACTGTGTGGCCTTGTAGTAAATGGCTTCATTGGGTTGGATTCGGATCACGAGCTCGTTCTGCGGCTGCTCCTGACGACGCGAAAACAGCTGGCATGTTGCTGCGTTTGGCCAATGGGGAGAAGAAATTTGTGAAAAGACTTCCCGAACCGGGATCAAGGTATCATTTCTACAGTATTGCTTCTTGGCATGGGTTCCTTCAAAGGCAAGCCCCTCTTGCGCAGGCTCCCAAGCCATTGAGACAACCATCGACAGGGTGTCATGAAGTCATCAAATCTCTTGCCATTACGACGTGTCATGACGTTCTCATTACGACATCCAGGGCGTCCCTAGATGGTTGTCCCTGACGGGCCGTTGACATCGACGGGACCCGGAGCTGAGGATTAGCCTGTTGCATGACCCTCGAAGAACTCAATTCTTTGGAGGACCATCTCAAAACAAACACACGGGTCCAAGGCATGGTAAGCCATGGTAGGCCCTATGTAACCCTATATAGATGGATGAGAATCAACTTTGGATTGTTCAACTGCTCTGTATAGAATCTATATGTGGAAGCTACCAGTTGTCAGGACAAAAACAGCTACAAGGAGCCCAAAATCTCAAAAACGAGCTGCATCCCAGTGGCGCCGAACAGGCTGTTGGGCGGCGCCTTTTTGAACCTCAGAGCTCAGGGGTGCATCTACAAGAGCTGCTCCCAATTGGGAAAACACGTGAGTGAAGAATTATGAAGAATTTAGGGTATGTAACTGTAACGTGTCAATTGGCCAAAGAATAGGGAGCCATGTGTATACACGCGAATATTGCAAGCATGATGCAAGGCTCCCAAGATGACAGATCTTTTCAGCCTGGTAATCTCCAGGCGACAACCATCTCGATCTTCAACCGAGTTTGGCTTTGCCTTGTTTCAGCTGAGCCTCCCGGCTGAATCCGCACGATGGTCTGATGCACTTCAAGACCTCCGGCTGTCAGGTGGAACCTCTCTGAAGTCTGTGACTTTCCAAAGGACTTGAAGCAAATAGAGGAATCCCAGCTCAAAGTTCATGACCCTACGGCGCCCTTTGACACTTGAACGACCCCAAGACCCCCAACTCGACCTCTTCCGGGTCGGTGCGTCCACCCTCCCTTCGGTCCACGGACACAGTGTGATGTCCCATGCCAAAGCCGAAGGACAGTGGAAAATTGGTTCCCCTTCCCAAAACTGAGAAGAGCATAGCCAGCTGTGAGATGCTTCGTTTGTTCATGTCTTTTCATCTTGGCCGTCGTGGGCAAAGGATAGTATGTCAGTCTCAGGGCCCAGGTGTTGCTTGCAATTCATCATCGTTCTGCAGTATATTAACTGAACATTTGGGCACATTTGGATGGCCTCCATGGAAAACGAAGTTCCTTCAAATCCCAAGCATGTGCAGGGCTATGTTGCATGTACGTCATTAGAAGAGCCCTCTCTGGTCTGTGATACGCAAATTTGTTTTTTGCGGCAAAAGGCAAACTCTCTCTCTCTGCTACAAATCCATGTACTTTGGGGACTTACAGTGTTGCGACGCGAGGTGGGATCCCATCGGCTTGTTCCCATCCGCCGGCCTAACAAAAACCGTGTGGCATCCATTTTGTGGTTGTTTTTTGTTGTTCATAGTACTGTATATTTTTGTGTTTTGACTTTATAAATACATGACTGGACTGCTGGCAAAACTAGGCTCCAAGTGTCGAACCTACACCACCTCGACCCCTTCCAGCCCATCGAAAGGCTGCCCATCGCTGCCTTTGCCTGCTTTCATGATGAAAGGTACACCCGACCTGCGTTCTGTGGCGGCTCTAGTAACCGAATCAATTACCAGTAAGTGGGATTTGGGGTTTCTTGAATATGGAGTCACGAAAAAACTAGATGATAGGTGAACTTAGAGGATAAAAATTGAGTCGATTGTGTAATGATGGTAAATCTGTAGGTTATTTTTCTGTCGGCATCACATCGGTGGGTCGTGTGTTGTGCGGGAAGAAGGGATGAGGATGCTGTTAAAAGAACATGTGCGGCCGTTTTCTTGCCAGGTCCACTCCGCTGTCCGAACATTGCGTGTGTTGCCATGCAAACTGCCAAAACTCGCCCTGACAAGCTATAAACAGCAGCGGACATTGCAAAAATTGCCATACATTATATGTAAGAACCTTGCATCGATGTGATGTTCAAACACGCTCGAACAAGTCAATGAAATGTCAGATTACTAAGGTTACTATTTGGAAACATATAATGCACATCTGCTCGCTACCTTGTGAGGTGAAGATATGAAGAAACCACAAATGCGGGACACATCAACGAAGCTGTTCTGTAGCTTAGCAGTTCTTGTCTAAGGAAGCCTACTACATCAGCGTGACCCAACTTGTCCTGTTGATGAAAGCTATCCGAGCTCTCAAGCGGCTTCACTTTTGTTGTTGCGGCATATTACGTTTAGCTTTGTCTCGGCAGTCACCTGTCAACGGTTTGTGACTTTTTCACTGCGCTCTTCAAGGTTTGGTCCCTGAAATCCTTGGCTCCCAGCCAACGCTCGTTGTCCAAGTACATCACTGCCACTGCAAAGGTGGGAGATCTCGAGGGATAGCCTTATGTAAGCGGAGACCAACGAGGTTATGCTTACACTTGCTGTCACTATCTGTCACTTGCTGCCAACTCCTAAAGCCGCCGGGCACAGCCGTTACAGAACGAGTCGCTGCAAAGACGCTCGACGCTCGGACGGGGATTCGGTTGCGGTCATGCAGCGTCTTGGGTGCACTCTCCACAGAGAGTCGTCATCAACGTGCGTCAGCAGATTGCAGGAACAGTACTACAAGACTGACTAAGACTTTTCCAGTCCTCCGGCCGAACATGGCTCGACCGTACCTTTCCTGTTCTTATGGCTGCTACGCGATCCCTTTTTTAAAGTGATTTGTTCGAAGGATTGAAACCATATCATGTGATGTGATTCATGCTATGTGCCTTTGCAATGCACGAAAAGCAACTAAGCAACAACACCTTGGAAACTCGCAAATGTAGGGTTCACAACATTACCACACTGTGCGCAAACAATTGCATGCTTATACTATTAGACTAATTTATTAGGATGCGCACAAACCAAAACCCCACACCCCTTTCTGACATGCATACAAGCATCCTCATTGATGTTCCAACACCAAACTGCTGCCTAAAGCTCCCATGCAAGGCCAACAAGTTCCCTACTGTATACCGGTTGCCGGTAGCCAACTCTTGGCTTACTGGTACCAACCGCTGTTGCTGTGCTCCGTGGTGTGATTCGCATGTGTCAATCAAGTTCTTTCATGTGGATCCTGAAAACTAAACAGGCAGGGTATTTGGGGAATTTGTTGCTGGGCAAAGGCCTCCACCCACCACCGGACATGCATCTCGATTGCTTTAAAACATCCGGATCCTCCTTCTGCAGAATCCGCACACCTGTTCTTAGTTTGCAGCGGAGCTTAGCTGGTGCTGGAGGTTTGGTCCATCAACCATACTCTTTGAAAAGAGAGTCATGAGGCTGTGCAATGCCCCAATGACTTCGGCCACCGACTGGAAGATGAATCTCGTGTTTTCGGCATCTCAGCTGGACCCTAAAGCCCCAAAAAAAGGAGGGTCCATGTGTAGGTCCATGTGGGTCTACAAACCTGGTTGAAGATGTCCATGTGGAACCCTCCCGTCGCGTCAGCTTGCTCCGCCCGAGGGGAGCGCGGATGGTTTTTTTGGAGTCCTGTCGCCCTGCTCTAAACCGCCACACGGCTCGTCTTGCTGATGAAGTCATTGATTCATCTTCAGGTCGTTTGCTCGACGTCCCTATGTTGATCTATGGATGCCTATTGGTACGGGGATGTACGGGGTGCATCTGAAAAAGCGCTACAAACTTGTTGAGGAGGAAATCTGGCTGAAAGGACATGACAGGTGCTTGAGGAGGATCTTTCTAGGAGCTTCATGCCAAAGGTTTCCTCCCCCTTCTCCTACGACGTACATGCATGATGCCGTGCCACACACAGGAGAGTCCAAACTCGCTTGGAGCTCTGGCCACGCTTGCGATTGATGGCCTGGATGTCAGGGTCCAGCTGATATCCTTCCTTGGTGGTCCAAATGGAGTGAATATGGTGGGAGTAGGCCATCTGGATTCGGAGGGTGCCAATTTCCACAAAGCTCCAGGGTTAGTCAGGGTTGAGGGTGAGAGTACGCCCAGTTGTGTTTCGCGCACACGTAGTACATCCCTAGGCGTCCAAGGACCTCTATATTTGGAACTGTGCAGTTACCTCGAATGCTTGTAACCAGGGTGTGGCCCAAGCCGGTTCCTGGAACCAGGCATGACTTTAGTCAAAATACATCAAAATATGATTAAATATGATCAGATTTCAGATGGAAGTATCATAGCATCATAGCTGCACACCATTTTCTCAAAGAATCTTGCACATGTTCAACGAGAATCTTTCTCAAAGAAGCTGCGCACCCTCTATGAAGCGGGCCCTGGTTAGATGGAAGCACCAGACTCAAGGTGCTGCCCGCCCTTTTCTGTGTCTTTTCTTTGTCCTGCCCTGATCACTTTGGTCTCTTTGCACTTTTTCAATCACACGCAGCCATCAGCTGTCAGCTCCACTTGTCAGATCCTGTGCTGCCATGTCGGGTGTGCAAGACGAAACTGATCTTGAGCACCCAGGAATATTATTTAGAGGGACCAGCTGTTCTGAATTCCACAACTGAACCTCCATCACTGCTTCCAACAAATTGAGGTTGGATTTCCTGAAGTTCCTCCTTGAGGATTTAGTCAAGGAACATGGAGTAGATGCTGTGCGGAAGGACCAGACCCATAATCTAATGGGCACAGCAACCCCGGAACCTTCAGAAGAGACCGTGGCGCTCTTGTTCGGCCCTGTGTCGCTACTAATGGCGCAGTTTGGAACAGAGATACCCAATGGATCCAAGTTCAAAGTGCCTTGCTTGAGGTTGATGAACTCATGAATGTCACTGTACTGGCATGAGTTTTCCCTGATGTGCCTTGCCATGTGGCCAAACCTCTCACACGCGCTTGTCCAGGCAGCATTCCTGTATATCAACTGCAATTTTGCCTTGCACCCTGAAGAGACTTTGCAAAAGCATTTGGACACTTGGGCAGAGTGGCAATCCAGTGTGTTGCGGCTGCACTGCACCTACATGGTGCGGCTATGGAGGAAAACAAAATTCCGTTCCAAGCCCCTCATATTGAAATTAGTCCGGTACCACTCTGCCACAGTTTCCTACACTTCCAAAATCTTGACAGGTCACCCTTCAATACTTGTGCAAACCAGGTCTGATGTGATTCAGCAACTGAAGAACATCCTGAACGAGAAGTACCAAATTGAGAAGCCTCCTTCCACGGATCCTTATCTTGAATAGCTCTGGGGCCACCATCCCAACTGCAAAGAACTTTTGTATCAGTGCACTTTTATCAAGGAAGAGCTGCAGGCCGAAGAGGCCAGTCAGACTGCTGCAACCGGATCTGCAGTGGATCAAATGCAAACTGTGCCCATGGACCTTCCAGAACCTGCCCCTTGTCCCGAGGCCAGCGAACCGCTCTCAGTCCTCAAAGTAAGTCAAAGAGCTGCTCTCCAAAGCTTCAATCCCACCTGCCAAACAATATAAGAGTCACTTTTGGAGGTGTCCGCCTTTTGGTCGTTTTCGCTTCAAAAACCACTGAGTGCGGACACCTTCCAAAAGTGGCTTTCAAAGCTTGTTGGCCTGTCTTGGTGGATGTTGAGGGTGCACATGCTGGGAGGATGTAGCGGCCCCTGGCCATCATGAAGCTGGTCATGAAGCAGCTGTATCTTCAGAGGTGTGATTGGTTTACCCCACCAGTTCTATCATATTTAGCTAGTCTTTCTACTTAAGCCAAATTTGTTTCCGACGGCGTCTTTCACCGTGCCTGGAGGAAGCCCAGCCTACAGAATCTGGTCCTGCAGAGCCTGCAGAATCTGGTGGGGAGGACCACGGTAATTAATATCACTTCGCTCAACTAGCACTGGATGTTCAACCAGATGATATCAATCCACCAGGATGGTGGCCGTGCTTTGCCCAAAGAACCATCTCCAGTCAGGGGCTGAATTCGTTCTTCCTTTTTAACAGAATTCAGACTTGCCGTGTTGGAAAGGTCCCACCTGAAGTTCCTGACCATGCCCGCGATGAAGTGGAAGAGCCTGACGGACACTTAGCTGTGTGGCTGCATGTTCATGAACGTCCAAGAACGTTGTATGCGTTTTCATTGTGTATTCCACTGGAAGGCTGCACCAAACCCAGTACCTGAGGAGGTGCCTCATTCCTTGCATTCAAGTTGGCCATTGAGACAGTTCACAACCTTTGAACATGGGCACCCTCTGTGGGCAAACAGACTGCAAGGTTGATCCCCAAGAACCACATGAAGTTCAAGAAGAGCAGCTTCAAGCCGAACCTGGTGAGGCATTGCTGGACAACAAACAAACGCCTAACCACGCATTCATTTGCCCACCTGAACTTGAGTGTGCCAGCGTGCCTTGCTTGTGGAGGTCGCGCCTGGCGCCGTTTCCGAATCAGCCAACTCATTGCCCAAGAAGGCACGTTTGGAAGATCTCTCCATTCATATATGTTTGGATGCCCTTCTGTATTCATTCAAAGTGGCTCCTCTCAAGTTGCTTCTGCGGAAAGGACTTTGGGAACCTCTCTCAATTAAACGCCTGTCATTAGCGGGGATGTGACACCAGAACCTTCTAGATTTGAAGGAATTGCGGGGACTCTGAAATTGTTTCAACTGCTAGTGACTGCTAGTGGTCTGAAGGCCGTGCGCACTGATTCCGAGAAGCACGCTGGACACCTCAAGGAGTGCAGTTGTTTCAACACAACCTAATTTTTGAACAACTACAAGTCACAGGCTAGCCTGTAAATGAGAGCCCAAAGGTCTACTCATGAGTCTACTTGGCCTCTTCTAGATGTATTTTGCGTCTCTGCCCTCTTGCGCCTTTTCACTGTGCAGGACCCTGCTGATTCTCCACTTGATCCTGAGCGCCAGACGGGGGCTGCTGCTCGACAATGTTTGGCGTGGCTGACTACTTTTTGTCAATTTGCAGGTATGTGCATACTAGACTTGCAAGTTTGCATGTGCACACTTAAGGAGAGGGAGCCCTTGGTGAAGAATGCCCTTAATATGGACAAAGTTCTAAGTCTGATCCACCCATACGTCAACGACATCACGCAAATCCAGAATGTTCTGGAGGCACAAGCCAAGCAGAAACTAGCCAGCATTCAGGTTGCTACAAACAGGTCCTCGTTTTTTTTAAAGCATGCACTAACCATGGTCCTGTCTCGTCAATTCTGAAGGCGAGCTGAAGCCAAAAGGAAAGCAGTCGCAACAAAAGGTAGAGGGAGAGGGAAAGGGAGGAAGACGTGTGAAGAGGCAGAGAAAGGGGAAGGGGTGGATGAAGATGAACTGATGGGTGCTGTTGGTGAGCCTGGCGCTGCTGCTCCCAAGTCGAAACGGCGGCCGAGAAAGTCAGTAGAAGACAACGAAGGTGAGGGAAAAGGGCAGGCGGAAGGGACTGAGAAAGGGAAGGGGAGAGGCCGTGGGAGGGGAAAGGGACGTGGACGGAGTGGGAAGCGAGATGCTCCCAGCCGTGAGGATGATGCGGACGCAGTAGACCCAGGACCATCCGGAAGGTCAAAGCAGGCGAAGGTTGCGCAGGTTGCGGAGGGTGAAACGCCGGCCGGCGCCAATGAGTCCAAAAAGCGAAAGAAGCAGCCAACACCAAATGGTGAGCATGCAGGCCCCGCTGGCCAGTCAACCGTTATAGTCTTTACATGTTCAATTTGTTTCCCAATATTCTATAGTTTTCTGCAACTGCCAGATGAAGAAGAGCAGAAGGCAATCAGGGCAATGCTGCCAGAACTTCCAGACTACAAGGTTTGATCAGCTTTAAAGGCACCATGTTGAGCACGCGCCATTACACAGCTGCGCAGGTCGTACCCTATTGGACACGTGGCGATGTTGCTGTTGAAATGAAGCCTCAGCACAAGAACGCTCGCAAAAAGGAGGCGTGCTAACAAATTGATGCGTTCTTTAATCAAAAGCCTTTTTTGGCCAGGTGGCATTTATCGGTGGCGCAGCCATCCCGGGATCGAAGATGGCAGATCGAGCGCTCATTTGTGTCAATTTGGTTAGGCCCCCAGCGTTTCAGATCAGAGGTTGAGAAGAGGTAGAATGTTTGCCACGTGCTGAGGCCCATGCTTTGCATTCAGGGAGCAGCCTCACGGATAGCATGAGGGAATTCTACAAGACCCAGGAGGAGCTGATGGCTCGGCTGACAGAAACGCACAAGAAAGGCGAGACTCGTGCAGTGAAGAAACGGACTTCGTAGATTTATGGCAGCAAAACATTTGCCCTTACAGGCTGTGCGGTGATGTTCAGATCTGTGTGTGGGTCAGTTGCATGGGAAGACTGCGTGTTTTAACTTGGTGGCCTTTCTTGAAGGGAGGCTCCACATGTTGTAAAGGGCACCACCTTGTGTCAACCTCTTTCTCATCCTATGAACATGGAAGCCCACCATTTCTTATATCGATCGGGTCTGAACTAGCAATTGGGCAGCGTGTTGGCGCAAGAGGCTGAAGGCCTGCCTTTTGGGGTGCCGCGTCGAGTGATTAGGTTTTTGGCCATATCTGATCAATAAATGTTACTAACATGTTTTGAGTCTTGTTTCAGAGTGGCCATCAGGCTAATCCGCTAGCGGCTTTAGATTCTGTGAGATGAAGAGTCGCTTTTGTGGAAAATTTGCACTCCTCTGCAGGTTAGTGTGTTTCTTCATGACCCTCGCCTGTTTGATGAAACGCAATGCTGGAGGATTGCCCTCAGAGTCTTGCGTGCCCAAGTGCTAGGTAAAAAGAACTGAGCCTCGAGTGTTGAACAACCATGCCTGCTCGATTTGGGCTGACGGCCATGGAAGTTGCATTGATTTTGGCTCTTGGGGGCCCCCCAATCTTGTTGCTGGTTTGCATGAAGCCTTGCAAATGTTCCACCTCCGCATCTTCTTTGTCTAACCCCTTTCAAATGGATTTGGGCAGCTCAGTGCACCAAGGG